TTGGGAAAAGGCAAGCTTGCTCAGAGGCGGCGGGTGCATGTCTGTATAATTGCATGCAAAATATAGTTTGCAAAGTACATTAGGACACTTTGACACTAAATGCAATATTATTATAGTGATTTTTTTCCGATCTATTTGACTTGTAGTTTTAAAAGGCTGATGAAATGTGAAAAAGCTAAAATGATGAAACTCAGGGACTCTGGCAAGGAATTGATTTCTGGATAGATGGTACTTTAAATGCTCTCTTTAATTCCCAAGGCCCAGGTCTCTACGCAGTGGTAATGTGATAAATGAAAGCTCTGAATGTTTACAAGCTAACAATTAGGCCTCATAAGCACCAAATACCATTTTAATTCTGTGCATTGAACCTTAGCTAAATACGTTTCCAATTGGGAATGGATGGCAACGGCTTCCTTTGCTGGCCTAATAATTGTCACTGTAATTGTAAGTGCTGAGCCTTTGCAGCAGGTTTGAATGGGAGGCAGCAGCTGTGTTAGCAGGTGATGAATTCATCGCTCTGAATGGCTGCTCTCTGTGCGCTCCCGTGTTTCAGTATTTCCTTAATTCTGGTGCTTTCAGAGCATTTGAAGAACACAGAAGTCTTAGGTTGTGATGAAAACTGGCCCACCCCTAAATCCCAGGACTGTGGAAACAGGCCTGGGCAGCTTAGCTGCAAAATGAGGTGCCTAGGAGAGTTTTATCGCACTGCAAATACCAGGGCACACCTGCAGCTACATAAGAGCCCGTCACTTGGCCTTCCTCTCCCAGCTGAGGATGTGCCCTATAAGTGCCTTTATAGGGCTAAAAGCAGAGATAGAAGTAACCCACTCATTAAACTCATTTAACTTTTTAAGCACATGATCTGTTTGGGATGTGGAAGGCTTCATGCTGAAGCTGATGGGTCCTGGGAGAATGTGGGTATGTGATAGATGATGCCAGGTATGTGCTGTGTGATCTAAATCAAGGGAAAAAAGTCCTGTCCTCCAGACAGGAAAGAGAAAAGGAGCTGCTTGCCAAGAGGACAGCACGGTGTGCGTCGCTGCTAACTGCCTTCCAGCACCTCCTTTTGTATTGCCACCGCAGTGCTAAAAGGAGTTTTTGTCTGGATGCGAGTCCTTTATGCTTCATCTGCCACCAATTACAAATAATATTAAAAATGGGAACAGTCTAATTGTGCTGCTTTCTCACATTTCTCCCTTTTGTAAGGCATGACCTCCTTGCAGCTGCAAATAGGTGAACTGTCACCCCCAAAATGAGTGCTTGACCAGTCCCTACTGTGCTGCTGGGCAGAGGTGCAGCGGCTCTTGCAAATGCAGAAAACACAGATGGTGCAGGTTACTTCTGACAGAGGCTAATGGAGTGACTAAGGAGGTGCCAAAAGTCTAATGTGCACGTGCAGACACCTTAAACCAGTTCCAGCACACCAATTTCAGGTTGTTCTGGCCCAAAATGAGCCCTGCCTCTCAGGACCCGAAGTCCCAGCTGGAAGTCCTTGCCCACAGTGAAGTTATCCCCTGTGGCGTGAGTTTTGTACAGCTGTAAAAATGTAACTGTGTAAATTGTGCATATTGTATTTAGGCGTTTTGACTTAAAGATGTGTGCACAGAGGTCTAGGCACTATCACACTCTTT